AGACTGGAGGAAAGTCTCTGCTGAAGCTGAGGCAAGAGGTCTTTAGACAGGGGCCTAACGCAGAAGAGGAGAAACCAGGAAGAAAAAGATGGGGCAGATAGAAGAAATATTCAGACAAGTGATAAAACCTGCCTAAACTTCCTGACTGACCAGATGTGGGAGGTAAAGGAGAAAAATTTTGGGTGATCTACTGACTTACAGCACGGTTGTCAGGACGTCGAGGCAGTAAACCTGCAGGTGGAAATAAAGGAGGAGTGCACATCATGGATGCAGCTGGGAGGCTGGAAAAGAGGGGGGAAAAGTTGGAAATGCTGTTGGCGATGCCAGGGAGATGCAAAGGGCTGTGTCTACCAGGAAGATGCACGTATGAGTCGGAAGTCACAGCTAGAGATAAAGATGTGAATCACCCAGGGACAAGAGTAGCTAAGACTCAGCATGCGTAAGATGTCCAAGGAAAAATATGTGTGAAGCCTTGGGGTCAATCCCCAGCACTGGGAAAGGAGAAAGGAATGAAAGAAGGAAAGGAGGGAGGGAGGGAGAAAGCATAAGGGAAAGGAAAGGAATAAGAAAAGGGGTGCAGAGAGATTTGCAGAAAAGTGATTATAAACAGGAGATATGCTAGAGCGTGCCAGTGCCCCCTAACATACGTGTGCTTTTCCCCTTCCTTACAATACACGAACTATGTATGTATTTCAGTCTCTGCTGTTATGAAACCACCTGAAAACATTCTAGGGCTGAAGTCACGCATACACTGTAGTTTCTGAAACATCTTGCCTGGGCCTCTGGTTCTCATGGGAGCCCTGGAAGCCACAAGCTGAAGGCGGCCACGTGACCTTGAGGGAAGGCGCTGAGTGTCTGAATGTCTCCATGGGCTGAGCTGAGGACAAGCACGATGGCAAAGCAACTCCAACCTGTGAGTGCCGAGCACCTATACAGGATGTCTGGCCATAAGCAAAATACAGCAAGGAAGGGATTTCATGCTTTTCTTTTTCATGGAGGCCATACACTTACGATAAGAGCATTGCTTTTCTGGCAAGAGTCTCGTTCCTGAATGCCACTGTGGAGCTGAGCCAAAACACTCTATGAAACGTCTACATTTTGTGCCAGATGTCATGAGGCAGAAGGCAGTAATAAATCGTACTGGAATTCAAGGAGACTACAATATAGAACACAGAGGAAGAAAGGACCTAAAGCCAGGCAGCCCTTGAAGTGAGGATGGAATTTCCTGTTGCAATCAGTAAGCTCAACAAGGCTGTGTACCCACATGTGATCGAACGCTGATTAACAGCATCTCCTATAAAGTCAAGTAGCCAGGACCAAGTCCTTGCTGTTTTAATTATTAATTTGTAGCTGTTAGTACATGATTAGACATTTTAAGCCTTGCCCTCCCCCATTAGTGAAAGGGCCTGGCTAACGTAGGCACTCATGACCTATCTGCTTCCCAGCGGCCACCCGGTTACTGGCACTAGGGCTCCACATTCATATATTTATGAAAATCTATGAAAAAAGACATTATATCCGTGTACAAATGGCTTTTCACATCTATATGCTGGATTTTTCCAGCTCTAGAGGGAAAAAATAATCACTTTAAGACTTGATTAAGAGAAAAAGAGCCAAACTAAATAAATCCTGAACAGGCGGGACTTACAATGACCATATTCTCCAAGTTGGTTTTCTGTAAGCCAGACATTTAGAAGTAGTGACATATTTTCCCATAAAACAAGTTTTAAGCTTCCAAGCCAGCCTGTTTACGTATACCTAACTTGTGTCATACAGTATAACCGTCAGTGTTGAGAACAGAGAATTCACTGAAATGCATATTCAGAGGTCCAGCATGGGGAATCCCTGCAGACAAGGCCTTCCCTGCTAACCCCAGTAGCTGCACATCTGGACTTCCTTTCATGTACCAGAATCTAATTCACCCACCACAGTGTGGAGCCGAAACCCTACCTGCTCTTCTGCACCACCTCCTGCCCCAATTCCAGACTTCACTAGTATGTTCACATAATCCCTTTGGGCCAGGAAAAACACAGCTGAACAGCATGGGAGTTTCTCTACAGCTGCAGCTGACTCAATTGCGCCTGCCCCACTCCTGCTCGCTGCTGCACCTGCATTAGAAAAGGCGCTGTGGGAAACGGTCGGGAGTGTGCTGCGCTGAGGCAGGGTGACAGTGGCAGCAAAGGGAGATGAGGTGGAGGTAGGGTCCCAGTGGAGGGGCAGTGAATGAGGAAACAGAAAGGACATCCAATCCTTCCGCTAGGCTGCGTGTTCTTTAGCAGGTATCATCACCTGCTCCACTTTGCAAATCCGGCACCCAGCGAGCAGCCCACAGTATGTTGAAAGAAAGATAAATGTGACTGCAGCAGAGACTGAAAGCCACCGTTCAGACCCACTTTGTACCTGCAGGCCTATTTTCCCAGTGTTGGCTGGGACACTGCCGGCAGATGGGGTTGAAGAGCCATTTTGGCCCCAAATCACTCTCTTTCCTGGGTTCGTGGGAGTGTAGGGGCTGGGGACATAAAAACCAGTGCCCCTCACCCAACCTGAGGTGAATCTGAGGGCCCCTCTCTGCTTCAGAGCTCCTCCTGGGGTTGCAGGCAAGGTAAACAGTCCATCCTCTCCCCTGAAAAGCAGGCTTCCCCGCTTTGTGTGGACGGCGTGGGTCCCAGAGGTCTCCTTAGTAAACAGGCTGCACTCTGATTCCTACTCAGAACACCTGCTTTCAGGGACACTCAACTGACACAACAGTGCAAAAGAGGACCTGGGCCCACACCATGTAGGGAAAGGTACTTGACTTTGCATTAAAGGTCAGTAAGTATTAAAAAGGCTTTACAAAGACTAAGGAATAAATTTTTGTCCTTAGCAATGTTTCCATTTTAGTTGTGTTAAGTAATCAACAGACACAGAGTACCTTGAAGACTGCCTCAAAAAAGTACACCTGTTTTCTTATCTTGTATCCAGTTAGTGATAAAATACCCAAACCACTTCAGATCTTAAAAGAAAGCAGACATTTATGCAGTCAGTGTAAATACTGCAAAAAGCAGTGCACAGAACAGAGCTGTTTCTCCTGTGGGTGTTAATCAACATCTGACCCGATAAACAATTGCTTTTCCACTGAAAGCCCCTCCATGGATTAGGTGTGGGACTTTTAATTATGGCTAATACAAAAATTTAACGCTTACACAGATAATTTTAAAAATATGAGTTACAAATTACTAAAACCACTTCATACACCACTGAATAAAAAGGGAATGACACATTGGATTTTCTGGTTACAGCTCCACTTGTACTCAAGGTATTTTGGGTGTAAATAACACCTTAATCTTGCAAGAATGGTTGTTAAGCATTAAATTGAGCCTCAAGTATTATTCCAAATATATAAGTACTCTTTATTTGTTAGACTTTTTCTTTTTAAATTAGAAAACTCCTTGCCAACTGGCTACATGGCCTGGTTAGCACTAACCGTGCATGAAGGTTCAGATCTAGAATGTCCCCTGTGTTCTGAGGTGGGGCTTTGGAAGGTGACTGGACTGTGGGGTACTGTCCTAGTCAGTGGACCAGCATGTTTATCTGCTCATGAGTTCAGAGCTAAACGCACTGTAGGAGGTGGGGCCTGGTTGGAGGGTCACTGGACCCTGCCAGGGTGGCCTCCCTGCCCAGCTGCAGAGAGCCAGCCCACCACACACCAAAACCCATGTGCCAAAACAAGCCTCTCCTCCTGTAAGTTGTGTGCATTGGGTCTTTTTGTCCCAGTGAGGAGACAGTGACTAAGACACCATGCTTCCTCACGTCTCCTAATAATTTATGCTCACTACTAAAATCTAGGGGGGAGCGGGTGCCCGAGTGTACCAATACCGATATTTACCTTCACTACAGGTGTGAAATGGGTGGACCATGTATGGAAAAAGGTCAGCGCTGTACTTCGTGGAAATACCAAGAGGTATTTAGCAGATAGGCATAGACTATAATTCTTCCCAGGATAAGTGATTCTTAATTCTATCTGACTATATTTCAGAAAACACACCTGGATTTGCATCATCTGCTCTGTGCAATTTTTTTTTTTGAGACAGGGTCTCACTATGTAGTTCAGGCTGGCTTTGAACTAACTAGCCCTAGCTGGCCTTGAATTCATGGTGATCCTCCTGCCTCAGCCTCTGAGTGCTGGGATTACAGGTGTGTACCATCACACCGGCTGCTCTGTGCAAATGTAAGCAGCAGGCTGAGTGACCCTGAATAACCAGCAAGCCTTCGCCATAGTACTGCACCATTACACCCTCTCCTTTTCTTTCAATAATACAAACAGTATGCAATACTGCTTGTCTGCAGACACATGTTTTAGAAATCACAAGAGCATACTTCACTGAAAGAACAAAACAAGCTGTCATGGTGGCACATGCCTATAATCCCAGTACTCAGGAGGCTGAGGCAGGAGGACTGTTGCAAGTGTGAGACGAGCCTAGGCTACAAAGTGAGCTCAAGGCCAGCCTGAACTGCATAGCGAGACCCTGTCTCAAAAAGACAAAAACAAAACAAAAAATGACCTGGAAATGGCGGCTGCCAAGAGGACCTGGTGACAGTACAAACGCATGTCAAGCATTTAAATCAAAATTAGTATCACTGAGTAGCTATGATTAGATTCCACAGAAATGTTTCATTAATTGAACCTTCACTTTCCTATGGTAACATAAGAGCAACTACTCAAAACCCACCTTTAATACTGCTTTTATTTCATCTCCCGTATATATCTCCTCATTCTTCACTTCCTAAGGATATGCATTAAAAAATTAGAATGACTACTAGCTTCATATACCACAGCATAAACGATTTCTTGTCAAAATTAATTAGTTTATGAGTCATTTTATTTTCATATTTTAGCCATTTACACAGCTAGTCTGTAATTAGTTATTTAGAAGACCAGTTTCCTGACCCATCAGCTACAGTCATCTCTTACAATTTATGCTATGTGGAAAGTCTGAAAGTATTAGGCCCTTTCTACTCACCATGAACACTTCCCAATGTAATATCCCCAGCCACAGAAGACAGCAATGTTGACTCTGTATAAAGATACTTGACTTTCAGCACACCATCTTCAGTAGATATGTTAACACAGCTTCCCTGCAGTTTATCTATAGTTACAGACTGGTAAGAGAAAGACTCCAATCAGTTCATTACAAAGTAATGACCAGAAAAAAGCTAAAATGGTAACTATGGAATTAGTGGGCAACTATGTAAGCTACTACCCTGTGCCTAATCACTATTGATTCTGGTTACCCGGATCTAATTATAAAGTTGTGAGCAACAAGCAAACATGCATTCTCTAGAGTGTGAAATAGACCCAATATATATCCTCTCTTTATTTAGGTCTTCTATGGTTTCTCTTAATAATGTTTTATATTTTCTATTCAGAATTCTTTATCTTTTGCTGGATTTATTCTTACTTGATCTTTTTAAAAGCTATTATACAAGGTATCATTTAAAAGGTCATTTTATCATAATTGACTTTTATCTACGGCCTTACTCCAGCATCTATGGTTAGCAATAAACTCACTAATGCGAATCACTTATTTTTATTAAGAAAAAACTTCTACATGCATAACTATATTATCTACAAGAGAGTTTTATTTCCTCCCTTTCAATCCTTAAGTCAGTATTTTCCCGCTGCTTTTTCATTCTTTTCCTTGCTCTGGCTTCCAATTCCACACTGAACAGCAGCTAAAGATGGAATAGCAGTCATTTTTTATCTCACTCTTGTTCTTACAGGGAAAGCTTATGGCTCTGGAATATTTAGCATGATGTTTGCTACAGATACCTTTTGGATGCCTTTTATCAGATTAAGGAGGCTTCCTGCTATTTCAGATTGGTTTTATTGTTGCTGGTAAGTGAATAACGAATGGATTTTGAATATCAGCACACATTTTACCTGATTCTACTGAGCTATCACGCTTCTTGCCTTTAGTATGTTAATGTGGTGAATATACTACTATTTCTAGGCTGCTTCCACTTTACACTTAGTAAGGCACTGCATCTCTAGTGAATAAAATAGAAGGAACTTTATATTTATCCTTAAATTTCCCTAAGAAAATTCAGTATGTATTTATGTCTCAAATACTGCTCTCATTGCAAAATGAAGTCTAGTTAAGGATCCAGGATCATCATTATGGTACTTCAAACAAATTTAAGTATTAATATAAAATTGTTCACATAAAAATGGAATTGCCAGGAAGGCCTCTCAGTTCTGCCTGGAGACAACTTTGAGCAGCGCACTGAGGTATTTAAGGAAAAAGTATCACTATTTTTAACACACTGGCATCAGTTGTCATTGCTCCTAATGAGTCCTTCAAAAGTTAAGAGTTCAAAATGCTGTCTAATAAGATTTGGGTTTCAAGGATACTGAAATACTAGAGGACAAATAAAAGTATATACAGAAGGGGCTGGGGATTTAGCTCAGTGGCAAAAGCGCCTGCCTGGCAAGCGCAAGGTCGTGAGTTCAGTTCCCGGTACCGGAGAAAAACCAAAAAAAAAAAAAAAACAAAAAACAAAAAGTATATACAGAAGAAAAGTACCCAGTGAAAAATAAATTAGAATTTCTTTCCCTTCTGGATTTAAACTACAGTGACTTTCTTTCTTAATAAACAGTCATGAAGTATTCAATGTACACATACTTGCTTCTTAGGTACTACAGTTTCTTTTTAACTAGTTATGGGTTGATAGGAATACTTATTTGAAATCCAGTGTCAATAAATCTGTCAAAGAAAGACAGATGTTTTACCTACAACCAGACTTATGAAATATAAATGTTTTCTCTTTCTTTAGCCATATAGTAAAGGTATAGAATTCTTTTAAAAATATCTTTTTATCTTCAGCTTCTTCATGAAAAGTTGATTTATGACTGTGGTTTTAAGTTTTTCCATAATGCAAGCAACAAACTGAGAATACCCTGGCTTTTTATAAATAGTGAGACTCTTTTGGAACCCAAAAGATACACGTTGAATGAATATTTGAAACAACTGAATTGGCAATGGGAACCTTCTGAGACTCCCCACTAATAAAGCCTTCAATGCCAAGGATTTATACCATTCATTAAACATTAGATGTTATATTCTCTAGGAAGTACAAAATATACTGCCCTGCCAAAGCAAATGAAACAACATCCACCCAACACAATACAATCACTTTAGCTAATCATTCCATAACATTTAAAAGAAATTTGAAATTCACTGAGGTCACTTAGAAAGCACTGCATCAGATACTAACGAGAACAATTAAACTTAGGACAGCACAATTTACAGCAAAATATTGAGGCTCTGATTCAGTCATTAATATTAATGAAAAAAGTGTCACAAGTAGACTGTAAATTATCAGAAGATGGAACAAAAGAGAGATCCAGAAGAGGTAAAATATAGTTACTAAAAACATGACAGTTTTAAGGAAAGAGTGGGTTCTGCAGCCCACACTGAGAAAGGAAAATGGAGAACGACATCATCAGTTCTTTCAATAATTAGATGAAGTGGGTTTCTGAAAGAAAAGACAAAGGAAAGAAATGGATTTCTATATGCTCTGTTAAACTGTAAATCTAAGTTTAGGATACTAATTAATGATACAATTTAAAAACAGCCAGAAAAATAACAATATGCAGTGTAACAACCATTGCTGATTTCCTATCATCTTGTTTTTGAAATTCCTTATTGTTGTTAATGGTTTTTTTTTCTTATTTTTTATTCTCTTTAAAATTTAAAAAAAAAAAACCCAGCCAGGTAAATAACAGTGCTATTGTTTCTAGTGCTCATTTACGTCTCACAATCTTGTTGAGCAAGCACAGCAAACTTTACCATTTCTGTTTTCTGACTATGAATCTATGAGACAAGGTAGAGCTAGGAGTGGTTACCTTTCCTGCAATATCTTCACTGTCATCATCATTACAGTAAGCACTGCATGAGTTGTGATAAAAAAATTACAGTGAATATTTAAGAATTTTAAAACTTATTACAGTAAAAGACATACTGCCATTAACTGCTCTCTCTCAAAATACTTCTCATTTCCAACACACTTACACCATTATTCTCACTACTTTCTGCAGCAACTCTGGAAGTTGTCTTTCACAAGTGTCTTTAGTTAGGCTGTCATGGCTGCCTCAGTGTCCCGACTAGGTTCAAAACATTTACCTTTCATGGTCATTCTAATTTGGGGGAAGAGCTAGAAGCCACACAGTGCCAGATCCTGTGAATAAAGGTGGACAAGGACACACTGTCATGTTTTTAGAGGCTGCCTTTTGGGTAGACGGCACTCAGCAGCTGCACTCACCATACTTTTGATCACACCTTGTAAAGACAAAGCTTCAGGCAGGGGATATAGCTCAGCGGCACAAGTGCCTGCCTGGCTAGCGCAAGGTCCTGAGTTCGATTCCCGTTACCAAAAAAACAAACAACAACAACAACAACAAAAATAAAACAAGACACAAAGCTTCAGTTGTGTGTGGGGTATTTTGCAGGGATTAATGGCAGATTATGATGGTCTTTTATCATAATAAAATTTTTAAAATTTGGTCACACCTTATATTAGAGTTCACTGTGTGCCAGACATATTTTAAGCACTCTACCTGTATTAAGTCATTTAATCTTCACAGCAGCTCTCTGAGTTAGGCCCTCTACTCTTACTTAACCTGTTTTCCAGAAAACAGAGACAAAGATGAAGTGGGTTGTTGGAAGCCTGGAGCTTAGGAAGCCAGCGGCTGAGCCAGCACTCCAACAGGGACCTGGTTCTCAATTTTGTGTTCTTAACCAATTCACTATGCTGACTCTCAAATATCCCAGGCATATTTCCATGAATGTCACACCTTAGAAGCTAATAGATTTCTTAAGCATTTATTTTATGTTTTTTAATCAAATCACAAACATAGAAATATGCTTTAAAAATTAACCTTATATATAACAAAAGTAGAAAAACAATCTACACCATCCTGAGTACATCACAAAATTCAACCTAGCAAGCAATGAAATGATACAATAGGATGTAGAAAGTAAATATTCAGTAAACCATGGCACTTGGAACAAATAACTAATGAGTGGCCAAATTATTCAAAATGGAAAATAATCAAGAGATGGTTAAACTTTGATGCTTCTATCTGAGTGTAAATCTGTAATACTGTATTCTGGTACCTTAGGATCATTTCAAATAAATTAGCCATCTACTAATGGACAGAGTGTGAGGAGCCACCAAGTCGTCCCTTCCCTCTTACACCTCAAAGTGTCCGGCACTCTGACCATGAAGCACACAGTGCCACCTCAAAGAGCTGTCACCTATGGCCAGGCAACCTCTGCACACCTTCCCAGTTTATCTTAGAGGATACCTAAACCCTGGGACTGAAACAGCCCCCGCAGGTTCTGAGAGAAAGGTGATACAAAAGAAAATGGCAACAGTAGAAACAATTAGTGATACAACTTGTCTTACTTAATTATGCCGACAATACTCCACCTACAAGGCACCTCGCTTCTCCTCTAAGCTCAGTATGAAATTTAGCAAATTTATAACCAAAGTGCCTTGCTAATTGTAAGTGTAAAACAAAAGATTTAGATTCTTCCTAAAGATTTAAAACACTACTGATTAAAAAAGTATGACAATTTATACTTCCAAAATTATACTTTTACTTTTAATATGATGCTAAATCACAGGAAGCAATAATTGACATAAAAATACAAACTTTCTTCCCATAACCACCAAATTCCCTATGACTACAAAAGACACTTTTGGGGAACAGTAAAGCTGTCAACAGGTGCCACCTTGTGGAAAATACTTCTGAAAGTTGAGTCTCAAAATTTGTCCTATTTGTCTAAAGGCGAAATAAATAGTTCTTGGAAAATCCAGCACTCAGGTTTACCTAATACAAAGGAAAAAATCCAATCTTGATACTAGGGATATTTCTTCATATTTCATATTTCTTCATATTTCTTCATATTTCTTCATGAGATATTTTAATCAATGATCAAAATAAAAATCTCTTCAGAATTCAAATTCAATATTTAGATTCATGTACTAATTCTAAGCAAGGAACTAAACAATTGCCAAAAGTATTAAATCACAAACTAAAATTTAAACTGCATATTTAACCACCTCAACTACAAATTTGAATTTACTACTGATGCAAAATGCATTAAAAAAGAAATATTATACCACCAACTTTAGAGAAGCTGCTCCCTTTTTGAGCTAAAATTGCAATTACTAAAAAAGTTTTAATCTTACGCTTTTATTTGATGTGTGAATATCTATATTTCCGTAAACTGTTCCCATACAGATCACTTTGCCTCCTTTTGTTTGAACATGTAATTTTTGACTCTGAAAAACAAATACAAAAATATATGTTGAGAAAAAGAATGTTTTTGACTTGTACTACTGAAGCACTTTCAATATTTCTTTTTTAGTAATAATAAAGTAGCAAAAGAAGTGTCAGGAATTAAACAAAAATTCACTGCTTGGAATCATAATAATATCAAGTGGAAAGAAATGTCAGCTGCTGTCAAATAACCTGGACCCAAAGGGAAAAGGAGATACCTGAACATTCTCGTAGCTTCACAGAAGGGCTTGGAGTCAAAGACCACTGTGAGCAGCTACGTAAACACCAACGATGAGGAGGGTGACAACTTTGATCATCAAGGCTGTTCATCACTATTAATAATTGCTATCACTTGGCAGTTTCTTGTTCCAGAGACAATGTCATCTGCTCTACTTGAACTACACCATTTGAGTCTCACCACAACCCAAAGAGACAGGTATCATATTTTCCCCATTTTACACAGCAAGAAAGCTAAGACCCAGAAATGTCAAATAACTTTATCAGGGTGACATGTTAGGAAACAACAAAATCTGAACTAACAATTAGAATCCAGCCCTGTATGCCTCTAAAGCCTACACTCTGTATTTTTTTCTTTTTTCTTTTTTTTTTTTTTTTAAGGTACTGGAGAGCAAAGCCAGGGCCTTCACACTGAGTTGCATCCCCAGCCCTTTTTTTTACTTTTTATTTTGAGACAGTGTCTCCCTAAGTCTCTAAATTGCCCAGGCTGGGCTCAAACTTAGTATCCTCCTGCCTCAGCCTCCCAGAGTGCTGAGACCACAGATGTGCACCACAGTACCCACCTCACAGCCTGCACTCTTAGATCTGAGGTGTTCTGGAAGAGGACAGCTTTACGCTTAGGCAACAGCACACCGTTACACCTTCCAGCACAACACACCCAGAAACTAAAGCTGAGAATGTCCGAAACACAACGCAGCAGGCACGGCCAGGCAGCCTCCTTGACAGACCAAACGCTGTGTGCGTGCGACTTGATCTCACACTCGCCAGCGTGCCAGACACCAGGACCGGCCGCCAAACTCCACCTTTTCCAGAGCGGACACCCGCAGCCGGGCCTGGGAGCGTACTCCTTGCCGGCTGCTGGCGCCCAGGTGCCGCGGTGCTCTTACACAAGGCTGTAAGTGGGGTGCTGTGCTCCTACGAGGGCGCCTCCTCTGTCCCAGCCCTGCCCACCGCGGAGCACAGCTTACTGCGGGGCTGAGATGCACAGCCTGAGGCGGCGGGGCCCTAGAAGCCCTGCCCGCAGACAGCCGCCCACACAGGCCCCGGCGGGACCTACAGGAGGCAGCGGCTCTCACTGCCTCCCTAACGTGGTTCACGTCCCTCACGGCGCCTCCGCTGCTGCGAGGACTGGGGAGAAGACCCGGCAGCGGAGGCTGAAGCAGTCCAGCGCCCGCGGGCCTGAGCCGGGAGACGCACATCAGGAGACCGGGTCCCCTCTGGGTGCTTCACTGGGGCAGGGAAACAGTACATGTTGAGGCAAAATAGCCCAGGAATCAATTTCAGAATAAGTCTGTGAGAAGAGCAGAATGAATTGTTCCTTTAAAAAACCGTTCTTAGACGGATTTCACTGTGGCATGGCTAGCTCCACGTCCACAAGAAACTCGAGTCTGAGGTCAAGCTCTGTGTCATATACGCTGTACTCAGCACTTCATTCATTTTACTTCCAAAGCAACTGTTGCTTCAAATCAGTTACTAACTGGTCTGACATGAACTTCCAGAGCCTATGACTCTTAGGATACTGCAACCGAATACATGTGCGTTTTCCCTAAGGAGACAACTGTGACATTTTTCAAGAGGCTTGAAGGCACTGAGCTATCATTTAAAGTTCAACTAATTTCCCAACACATGTGAAAATTCAAACAATAAATAAGGCCAAAGAGTGAAAATAAATGTTCAAATAAATCAGAACTTATTTAGAAAATTGTACTGCATTTAAAAAAAGGAAACTATGCGGCATTCAGTGAGCTAATGGTCTATTGCCTCAAAATTACTCATCTTATTCCCCAAAGATGCTGAATAAATGTGATGTTAGTGTTTTGCTTACACAAGGGCATGTGCTGGGTGGCCAGAAAGACCCAAGGTCAAATCCAGTTTAACTTTTTTAGCCGTGAACTGAAGTGAGTTCCGCGGTCTCTTGCTGCCCCCTAGTTTCTTCCTTGATAAAGTAAAGATGCTTGGGGGATGAAAGCCGTGATTCCCGGCACGTAATGAATCATGAACAACAAGTGCTATAAAATGTAATTATGTAGATCAATTCTATACAATATAAGGGCTTACAATTCATGAAAGAGAAACTACTTAGCAGGTGGCTACTATTCAAGATAATGACACTACAGCATATTTAAATCCAGAACCAGGTATTTTATCGAAGTGCTCTTATTTGTTAATTTAAGTCAATCAAATCCTAAGATCTCAAGAATAATTCTCATAATTCTAAGTATACCATTAGCACCCAGGGGCTCAGTTTTGTCCCTGAATTTCTTTTTTAAGTTATTTTATTAGAGCTGAAATTTCATGAATTTTATTCTTTCCTACCATTCTTCTAAAGAACATGTAGAAAATTTACTTATTCTTTAAAAATAGAATTAAACTCACTCTATCTTGAAATCACTGTGGCAGTCCACTGAAGTCTTTTAAAAATCTAAAATACATCATGGGATAATAGTATTTTTATTTTTCATATGCCTTATAGCATTTTGCTATTTCATTCTCCTGGAAGTTATTTCATAATTATTCATTGACTATTCTCAGCTATGCTAAAAATATAAATGATGGACTTGCCTGGAACAGTGATTCTCAACTGGAGGTGATTCTGCCCCCCGAGGACACTAGGCAATTCTGCATTTAGATTTCACAACAAAGGAGCATTCTAGTGGCATCTCTAAGGTGGAGGCCACAGATGCTGCTGGGCATCCTGCATGACATAGGACAGTGCCCCCCCACCAAAGAAGGATTATCTGGCCCAAAAATGTCACTTGTGCCAACACTGGAAAACTGGAGAACCATTTTTTATTTTTGTGCCTATAAGGGCAAAAAGAAGCTAGCAAAGATCTTTCAGAATTATCAGATGAATAAAAAGGATGCAAAGAAATAGACAGCAACATTCTCAATTCAATTTTAATTGTGAAACTGGAAATCCTACATTCTGAGTGGGTAGAGGACAATATTTTTCATTAATTCTCTGAACCCTAAGCATCAGTGAGTGAGAGACATATATACACAGATATATAGACAAAAGTCACACAAATATATATGGACAAAATATTTATAATATACATGCACACTATATATATGTAAAATATATATATATGGACAAAAATGTACTGTAGTATTCCCATGCTGTTAATCATGACAAAAAGCTAAACCAACCTATCTTACTAAAAAGATGTGTGAAGGTATTCTTAATCTTTTACGATACTTGTGCAACAAAAATTATTTAAAATGGCTGAGGGGCTGGGGATTTAGCTCAGCGGCAAAAGCGCCTGCCTGGCAAGCGCAAGGTCGTGAGTTCGGTTCCTGGTACCGGAGAAAAACCAAAAAACCAAAAAACCAAAAAAAAAAAAAATAATAAAATAAAATAAAATAAAATGGCTGATACATGGACAGATGCTCAATGCAGGTATGCAAACAAACATGGATAAAACTATTAATTTAAAAATACAAACATCCAGTCATTAAACATAAAAGTATTTTCCAATTATGAAGCAGGAATGACCAACTTCTCTCCCACAAAGTAGCTGCAATCAAAGTTTGTACAGTACTGCATATTCTCCATGGAAGCGCTGGAAGAACTAGGAGTAACAACCAGCTACCTACCATTGATGTATTTCAAATCATTTACACCTAAGGCCAATTTAACTTTAACAAAATTAAATATAAAAACATTAATTATAAAATAAGATGAGCCAGGTGTGGTGGTGCATGCCTGTAATCCCAGCACTTGGGAGGCTGAGACAGGAGGATCGCTGTGAGTTCAAGGCCAGCTACATAGTGACACCTGTCTCAAAAACAGCAAAAACTAACATTCTGAAAAAGTAGCATAATCTCTTTATGTTAGTACTTTAATATAAAGTTCATAGTTTAAAGATTTTTAAAAATCAAAACAAAATTGGAAAAATGTCCATACCTTAACAGAGTGCAAGATACCGGTGCCCTGCTCAAGTTCAATTTTGCAATTATCACACTCCATATTTTGGACTTCAACACTGCTAGACCCTGATGACTTGATATTCAAATCTAGAAGTGTAAAAAAGAAAAATAAGTTAGCACTAGTGAGATCTAAAGCATTTTCCTATCCCCTAGAAATCCAACTCCTCAGTTTGTCCATATTATCACTGAATCCTGTAGAGAATAGATGTGTCAACAATCTCTCTCTAAAAGTGAGAGGTCTTCACCATAGACAGGGTCAAGTGCAATGACTTCCCTGCCAGTTTTTAGAAAGAATTACTTCTGTTGGCCTGTATCATCTACAGAGAGGAACAGGAAGTAAAAAAGGCAAGAGACTGCAATTCTGATATGTACGCACATCACAGGTCATAGAGGCCTCTTCCCCACCTAGAAAACAACATACACCCACACACACACACACACACACACACACACACGAATGAGAATATAGACAGTTAATGAGTCATTATGACAAAATGGGTAAGTCTGTCAGCCTAGTTTCTCTTACATTGAGGAGGATTTAAAGATTTGTTTTCAAACCTCCCCCAAATTAAAAGCATGTTACAGGAATAGCACAGATCAGTATATACGATCAAGACTTAGGTTTTCAAATCCGACCTCTAAACCTTTCATGCCTGAGAAAATGAGAATATTGCTATGTAACTATATCACAGTGTACTTGAGTTAACTTTTAAAAATGGGATCCACTCTTTTCAGTATTAGAAAAACCTAATACTGAACTGTATTTAAACCATAAGATTGTGATTAATAAGAAATGTATCTGAAAAAAGTTGGGAAAATAAAGAATCACAGGTGTCATCGTAGGCCATCAATTTAAGATGGAAACTTAGTATCTTAGTTACTTCTCTCTCATTGCTGGGACAAAATACCCAACACCCAATATTAAAGAGGGGAAGATATTTAGCTCAGTTTGTAGGAGTTTCAGTCCATACTCGACTGGCTCCAAGGCAGGGTGGCACATGGCAGAGGGGTAAAAGTTCATGGAGGTGGAAGACAGCAAAAGCAAGAAGCACAAAAGGGAGGAACAAGCCTCTTTTCCTTTCCTTATATTGCATGCAGGCTACCTGCCCTAGGGTGGGTGTAGCACTCACACCTTCACCCCTAGCACTAGACAATGAATCAATCACAAACTCTAGATTCAGCCACCTCTGAAAAGCCCACCTCCCATGACTGCATGAGGCTTTAGGGGGACATCCAGACACAAACCATAACACTTAAGAATCTCTGTATCAAAATAAAATAATTGAAAACACTGATTAATAATTTATATAAATATTGATGATTTCCCTTAGACTACAGAAGTACATGCTATGGTCCCCAAAACACAAGCTATTGGGGGCTTGGTGTCACAATTCCAAGAGTTATGGCATAAAAATTAATTTCCATAGTTGCATGGCAATCTCTGTAGAATTTTAAAATAACAGCAATATTTTGATTGAGATTAAGTAAGAATACGTAAAGAGACAATTTTATCCTACATAAACATGAAAATAAATGTAACAGTAACATTTACTTTCCAGTTAAGTACAGTAATGTCACAACAAAATGCTGGACCTAACGCATCGGTTATAGAAACGGGAAGAAGCAGATTCAAAAGATACTTCTATGAAACTAAATACTTGAGCATTTGACCCTGTCTCAAAATAAAAAATAACAAAGGGCCAGGGATGTAGCTCAGTGCAAAAGCCCTAGATTCACTCCCCAATACCTCAAAAAACAAACATAGTGTAGGTTTGGGAATCTTGCATGGTTGGACCATAATTGTTAGTTCAGATTTTGTTGTTTTCTGTCTCACCCTGATAAAGCTACTTAACATTTAGGTTGCTTCTCTTCAACCGGCAGGTGGAGATATTTAAAGATCCTTCTGCTTAACAGGTAGGTGGAGAAACTAAAGCTAGACACAGCAGTGGTAATGTTACTTTTACCCATGGACTGAAGCGGGTAATTATATCCTAAAAAATGAGTTATGCAGATTTGAGGGGTCTGTTGAATAGATGCATGAAAACAGTAAGTTGAAAATGGAGTTCAGGCTCTAAAAAGAAGAAGCAAATAATGTAGGTTGGAGTCACCAAAAAAATAGTGCTTTTTGTCTGTGCTGCCAAACTTTGCTAAGCTCTACCTCTGTACGCAAATCTATTTAGTCCTAGGGGCAAGTCCCCACCAGCGCCCCCAACTGTTACATTTTGAGGGTGCAGGTTCTTCTTCATCTCGACCGCCTACAAGAAGCTGAAGTAATAAAGCACCGTGGTTGAGTGGATTCCAGTACAAATCCCAACTCCTTCTCTTTATACTGAAAAGAGAGAAAGTATTTCTCAATCTACCCGCACTAGACCGTAAGCTCTATAAAGCCATGGGTTTTTCTGTTTGGTCATCCACAATAAATATTTACTTTATGATACTTCTTAAAAATCTCGATGTCCTCATACGAAATGATGAAAATAATAGAATCTACTTTATAGTGCAGCTGTAAGGATAAGAAAAGATCATCTTAGAAATGCTAAATGTTATGATGATCGTCATCAGTCGTGGGAAGAATGAGACGCTGAGCAACCCTTCCTAGAAAACCATGAGCACACAGTGGCTTGCGTCGGGGAACTAACACACAGCCCAAATGCCCAGGAAACATCGCGCAGGCATTATCAGTGAAATTTCGCGGGGAAGGCTCGCTGGATTTTTCTTTAAAGCTTGCTACTCCAAGAAAACTTATGGAAACAAAAGGAAAGACATAGCAGTGAGAAGCCGGGCACTTACCTGAAACCAAATACTTGTACCAAGTTAGATGTGGAGCGCGGGTTAGGTATGGGGACAGAACCGTGCGTGGACTGCCACGCCGCTGAACGGATTACCAGGGAACCTCAGCCCTGAAGAACGACTTTGCGAATGATAATACGGCAAAGGAGACCACTGGGGGCTCCAAAATATATCTGATGCGGATTACTCCAAATCAGGTTTGCGTTCGATTTTAAACTCTTCCTTAATTGGCACCCTCACCTCTAAACACCGCCCAAAAACACAGAGAAGAGAAAAAGCGGCGGCTACGAAAGGGGCCGACCGGGAGGCTCGAGGGCCGGGTCCAAAGAGACGCGCGACGCCCCGCACTCACCCAGCCTCGGGGGCGCGCCCACCTCCACCGCGGCCCGCGGGTCCAGGCTGTCGGCCTCCACCGCCGTCTCGCGCAGCGCGC